TGCACATGATCTTACACCTATCGGTCAAATGGCAAGTCACGGGACAGTTACCACCAGTACAAGTGGCTTTACAAAGTTCTCCTCTGCAGTATATCGCGCAGCCTCCACCAGTGCAGAACAAATCGCAGGTTGTTGAGTCACACATAATAGGTTTGCAGTTTCCTCCGGTGCAACTCATGTCACATATGCCAGATGCATGACAGGTTAAAGGACATCTACCACTAAGGCAAACCTGATTGCATCGATAGTAGCTGGAGCTTCTTGGACATGTACAACCAGCAACTGGATAGCATGTCTGAGAGTGAAAACGAGGTCGTAAAGTGGGCCAGACAGTGAGGGCTGTAGTTTCTGTAGATGGTGTTGGTCGAACGGTATTGCACGGTCCAACGGTGCATCTCAGGTTGCGTGTCTTTGCGTTTGCGGGGCACTTAAGAATACATCTACCACCAGTACAACTGGCTTTGCAATGCTCTCCTTTGCCGTCCATTTCCCAGCCTCCACTAGTGCACGACAAATCGCACATCCTTGCGGCGCACAGAATAGGCTTGCAACTTCCCCCTGTGCAAGAGAAGTGGCACTTTTCGGCGGCATGACATATCAGGTTGCAGTTTCCTCCGGTACAAATCTGCTTGCATGAATTATATAAAGGGCTCTTTGGGCAGGCTAATTTACAACCACGCCCAGCACACCTTTGCGTCTGTAAAGAAACTGTTGGTTGGAAGTTGCACGAGACAACAACAACAAGGAGCATCGCAGAAAACCTACGGGGAGTGTTCCAACTCATCCTTGACCTCAATTTTAAATCTAAATTAAAATAAAAATTTATACAAAATGTAAATTGAGGAACGAAAAGAAAGATTGATTGATAAAGATTCGTTATAAATGAAATAGCAAGACCAGTTCTTCGTGTCTGTCTTCAAAGGAGGCCTTTTTAGCACTTTTTCACTAAAATAAAAGGGTAGTCACGTTCAACTGCTACTAACGCTACCTAAGGAGAAATGTTGATTACAACTAACTACTTATGCAGTGGATATTCTCATCAATTAAAATAGTATAAATAGCAACTCCATAATAACCATTTATACTATAAAAGATAAAAATTTTAATGATGAGCCATACAAATTCTTAAAGCAATTCAATTACCTATTTAGGAAAACAAGACAGTAGAAGGGGAAACGGACGTCAAGCGTGAATACTCCAGTCCCACTATTCTATTACGTCCTTACAAGTCACAGTTTTCAATTCTCTCTGTTCTTATAAAAACAGAAAAAATCTTGTGGTTTTTCCCTTTTTCTTAGTTAATTATTATATTTTAAATTCTGCGCCCTAATTTTTCACGCGCCTAGCCCGCACGAAAGACATTTGCAAAATTACAAGAGGGAGTGGTAACCGACAGTAGGGTCGGGACGCCCAGCATACCGGCTGTCATTCAGATAAATCTTCCTCCCACTAAATCAGTTGGTAACCTCTACACGTGTTATATATATAATAGCAATGTTGACTGACCCGAGAATACGTATTTTAGCGACTTGCCTAAATTTAAAACAACAAATTAAAAATACTAATGCAAAATCAAAATCCTGAGGCTTAGTAGTTATACTCGCGTAGGCTTAAATTGAAACAGTCTTATCAAAAAAAAGTATATCGATATCGCGTTTATATTCAATGTGGTCATTTGATATTAAGTTTTTGGTTTGTTTCTTCATCCATCCTGAGAAAATTATTGGATAAGTTGTTCTCGCCAGATGAATATCAATAGGTATATGAAGTAATCAAAGATGATTATACCTGGCCTAATGACTTTTTTTTATCAATGGCCGGTGGACTAGGCAAATAATTGGTTTTCCAAAACAACTTCTCGGACGAAAGCCCAACATTTAAATATTTTGTTTTGTCTAGCAAACTGAGCATTTGAAAGCACAATTGAAAAATAGAAGTACCTTATTTTACGCTGCTTGCTTCACTACCTTTTTTAACAGTTGTTTTTACAGCCACGGATGTGTTAGCACTACGTAGGTAAAAAGTAGCAAGGTAGAGAACTATGTAGCAGTAACTGAGAAATGCGAAAACTTCAGTTGACTTTCCTCGGGCAGAAAGTTTTATAATTCCTCTATGTTCAACCTCGAACTCTTATATGAGCTTTTACGACCCCCATTGGCCGTTCCTTGGAGTGGGATATGGAGTTTCTAGATCGCGGCCTCATAAAACATGAAGTACTTTATATTAAACTCAACGACAGTCAGTCTGAATACTTGAAAAAAGTTCAGCTTGTCACGAAAATTATTAATTAGCGGAAAATCAGGGCAAGAAGATCAGATTCGCACCTAGCTGATGTT